ACAACATCACCAATCCGTCATGAGATCATGTGCCCTCACCAACAACCAAGAGTGAATATAGAATAGTCCACACCGTCAAGTATGACTTTGAACATAAATTAAGGACATCACATAATTTGAACAAAAAAAGTATCTCCCTCTCACAAAGAATTCATGTGCATCCCGTTTTGTACCATAAGCTTTCCCGTAGTGTACATCTCTACTAATCTAAGCTAGCCAAATCTAGGATCAATTAGGAACTTAAGGTTGTAATGTAGGCTACGGAACATGCATGATATATTTAGGAATAGTGACTAACCCTCCTAATCACTTTAATACACTACACTAAAAAATCGAGCACATACTCTGCTCAACCAATTCACTCTCCACAAACCATATACAACACAACCATCTTGTTCAATTAAGCACTTCTACATCCTTACTAGCACGAATTAATAAGATTAGGAGATGTGTGTTTTTCAACATTATTTGAACTATCATTTTTTTCTTCTTGAAATTATCTATTCTTCTTTTGTACACACCCGCCATACATTATGGTTCATCGGCTAGTGACCCTTTCCCCCCCACAACTTTAGTGCACCTTAAGGGCCCTTCCATGAATCCACTCAAAAGCTACTCTCCAATCTCTTACCGAACTTCTTTTACCGCATAAGTTTCTTAGGAGGTAAAGGTTCAACATTCTCAAATTAAAAACAAATAGGGGTTCATCATGTAATGTGGGTGCCAAAGAAAAGGTCTATAGGCTCAAAGGGCTAGCAACGAAAATTTTTATTTGTAAGTGACAAGTACATCTATGATCGAGCAAGAAACACCTACTTCATCTCCTAGACTAGCAAAACTTAATAATTTCACTTCGATTAACACACCGGACAAGTTCTAGACTACACATGATAGCACATAATACCACAAATCCTTACACGCACCTTGCACATGACTCAATCAAGACGGTTTTGTTCAACTCTCAAGTCAAGCAAGCACATATAATTGATATTTTTTAAGCAATCTTGCACAATGTGGCATACAAGTCGAACAACTGAGAAAAAACGTCACAGAGTAGGCTATTTAATTTACTCAGGCATCACAATTCAAATCAAATGTACGGGAAGACAGAGCGCATGTCATTAACCTAATGTGCCAGAACCAAACACGTCAATAGGTACATGAGAGCAACTCAGTTTCTTACCTACTCCTAAAAAGAAAAATAAAGTACCCAGTTCGAGCTACACCCTTGAAAAAGAACTGGCGCCCAAAGAAAAACCAAGGGATACTACCTAACTATCTTGGAATTTTTTTTTTTGGTGTTTTTAATTGAACTTTACTCCCACAAGAAAATTTTCCAAAAGACCATCGTTGGGAAAAGTTCAAGTTTTTTTTGATTTGTTTTCATTTTTTTTATAATTTATCTACTACTCTATTCTAAAAGAAAAATAATAACAATGTTTATATAGTTAAACTAGACAGAAAGGATTCCCCCACCCCAAAATTATTTTATGCATAATCCTCGATGTATGATCACAGAGAAAAATATTAAACAAAGGTGAGAAATACTCCTTGAGACCCTCTTGGCTCTAGCTCACACATGATCCTCAATATTAAGGGTCGGAACGACCCCATACTTAAGCTCAAACATGCTCTTCAGCTTCAAGTTCGGGTACTCAGACTTCCCCTACTCTGCAAAACAAAAACAACACAAAACTTGAAACTATAAAAGTAAAATACAGGCCTCGTTGCCTCCCAACAAGCGCCTGATTTAACGCCGCGACACGACGCAAGGTCCTGCTCACTCATTAGCGAGTACTACTTTGGAATTCTCATGATCAATGATTCCTCCCCAATAGTGCTTGACTCTGTGCCCATTTACTAAAAAAAATTTCACCATGTAGAGCGTGCAGCTCAAGTGCACCATAAGGAGTGACTCTCACTACCTCAAATGGACCTGACCATCTCGATTTTAACTTCCCAGGAAACAGCTTGAGCCTAGAATTGAACAATAATACCTGTTGGCCCGGTTCGAAGTGACGTGGCTTGATACGCTTGTCATGCCATCTTTTCGTTTTCTCTTTGTACAGCTTAGCATTTTCATAAGAGTGCAGCCTGAACTCATCTAACTCATTAACCGCAAGAGTCTCTTCTCGCTCGCGGCTTCAAAGTCCGTATTCAACTTTCTAATGGCCCAGTACACTTTGTGTTCAAGTTCAACAGCCAAGTTACATGCCTTCCCATAAACAAGCTTATACGGCGACGCCCCAAATTGGTATTTTGTATGCAGTTCTATATTCCCACAAGACATCATATAACTTTGCAGCCCAATCCTTCGTATTTACACTCGCTGTCTTCTCTAATATTTTCTTTATTTCTCTGTTAGACACCTCAGCTTGCCCACTTGTTTGCGGAGGATATGTTGTGGCAACTCTACGGGGGACTCCATATTTAGCTAGAAGGTTATTTAGCAACCAATTACAAAAATGTGTCCCTTCATCACTAATCAAAGCTCGTGGAGTCCCAAACCTCAAGAATATGTTCTTCTTCACAAACGCAACTACCACCATGGCATCATTTGTTGAATGCAATCGCCTCTACCCATTTTGACACGTAGTCAACTATTAGCAGGATGTATTTGTTTCCTCTGGACAATGGGAATGGTCCCATAAAGTCTATCCCCTACACATCAAAAATCTCTACCTTCAGGATGTTAGACAAAGGCATCTAATATCTCTTTGTGAAGGTCCCTGTTCTTTGACATTGATCACACTTCTTAACAAGTATATGGGCATCCTTGAACAATGTTGGCCAAAAGAGCCTCGATTGTAACACCTTTGCAGCTGTCCTATCGCCTCCATGATGGCCCCCATAAGGTGATGCATGACAATCGTACAACACTAATTCCACCTCCTTTTCTGGAATGCATCTCCTCATCAACTGATCAACACACTGCTTGTACAAGAATGGCTCATCCCAGTAGTAGAAGTTCACATCATATAGAAGCCTCTTTCTAGCTTCAAATTTAATTTCAGGAGAAAGTACCTCACTCACAAGATAATTCACATAATCCACGTACCATAGGGGAGGGTCTTGGGTGATAGCAAAAAGTTGCTCAGTAGGGAATGCCTCCTTAATTTGTCCACCCTCCTCCACGTGGTCATGATTTCACAACCTTGATAGATGATTAGCTACTTGGTTCTCTGTGCCCTTCCGATCTCGTATTTCTACATCAAATTCCTGCAACAACAAAACCCATCACATCAATGTAGCCTTGGATTTTCTTTTAAATAGATACCCGATTGCTGCATGATCGGTATGGACTATGACTTTTGTTCCCACCAAGTATGCTCAAAATTTCTCAAAGGACCACACAACGGCCAACAACTCCTTTTCAGTAGTGGTGTAATTCAGTTGTTCATCATCAATAGTCTTACTCGCATAGCAGATAGAATAAAACATCTTGTCCTTCCTCTGGCCTAGCACTGCCCCAATAGCATGGTCACTCGCATCACACATGAGTTCAAATGGTGAGGACCAATCTGGTTCCATAATGATGGGGGTAGCCACCAACTGCTTTTTGAGATCTTCAAATGCCTTCAGGAAGGCTTCATCAAAATTGAAAGTTACATTTTTTCAAGCAACCTGCACAAAGGAGTAGCAATTTCTGAAAAATCCTTAATAAAGTGTCTATAGAATCCTGCGTGTCCCAAGAAACTCCGGACACCCTTCACAGAAATGGGTGGAGGTACTTTTTCAACTGCATCCACCTTCGCCTTATCAACTTCAATGTCGCTCCTTGACACTCTGTGGCCCAACACGATGCCTTCTTGCACCATAAATGGCACTTTTCTCAATTCAACACTAGATTTGTTTCTTTACAACGGGCCAACACCCAGCCCAAATTCTTCAAACAGTCATCATAAGAAGACCCAAAGACTGAAAAATCATCCATAAAGATTTCCATAATTTTTTGCACCATGTTAGTGAAAATAGCCATCATGCACCTCTGGAACTAAACAACATTCGCTTGAAAGTGAATGTGATAAGGACAAGTAAAACTGGTCTTCTTCTGATCCTCTAGGCATATGACAATCTGGTTGTATCCCGAACAACCATCAAGGAAGCAATAATATTCATGCCCCTCCAATCTATCCAACATTTGGTCAATGAATGGAAGTGGGAAATGGTCCTTGCGGGTTGCTTTGTTGAGCCTTTTGTAATCAATACAAACTCTCCACCTCGTCATGGTGCGAGTAGGAATTAACTCATTTTCCTCATTCTCTACCATAGTTCCTCCTTTTTGGGCACACATTGCACCGGGCTTACTCAATTGTTGTCAAAGATAGGAAAGATGATACCTACATCGAGCCACTTAATTACTTTCTTCTTCTCGACCTCTTTCATAATGGGATTTAATCTCCTTTGTTTCTCAACATTGGGGCGGTGTCCATCTTCCAAAAAATTTTTATGCATGCAAAACGATGGACTAATTCCTTTGATGTCAGCAATTGTCCACCCAATAGCTTTTTTATGCTCGCAAGTACTCTGAGCAATTTTTCTTCTTGCACATCGGTCAATCTGGATGAGATAATCATTGGCAATGTCTCAGAGTTCCCTAATAAGCATAGCGCAGATGCGCTGGAAGGGGTTTAAGTTCTAGCTTTGAGCTTCTTTAATAGATGGCTTAGGAGGGGTCAGAGTTACATGCATGTCCAACTCCTCAAATCTCCCAAACTCATGGACATAACAGCAAGACATGTCAAGTACTTGCTCAATTTCTCCCACCATCTCCTCTTCGCCGACTTCTTCGTCCCCAATCAAGGCTCTTTCAAGTGGATCTATGGGACTCATATACGACACCAATGGCATCACATCACTTTCCACCACAAAAATCATGTATACCTCTTCATAGTGGGCTGGCAATATGAGTGCTTTATACATATTAAATACCTCCACTTAGTCACTCAATCTCATCGTTATCTTACCTTCACATACATCAATTATAGCTCGGCCCGTGGCTAAGAATGGACGCCCCAAAATAAATGGGAGTTCCTGATCAGGCTTAAGATAATGAAATCGGCAGGGAATATGAAAGAATCCACTTGAACTAACACATCTTCAATTACACCTTCAGGATGAGCAAGGTAGCGATCAGCCAATTGCAAAATCACCGTGGTTGGACGCGGATCACCCAACCCCAAATGTCTAAACACAGATAGCGACATCAAATTGATGCTCTCTCCAAGATCACACAAGGCTCGCCCGACTGTGTGTTTACCAATCAAAATTTGGATAGTAAAACTACCCCGATCCTTCAATTTCTGAGGTAGCATGCTTTGTATTCTTGAGCTACATTCCTCAGTGAGTGCCACCGTCTCGAACTCGGTCAACCTCCTTTTATTTGCCATTATGTCCTTGATGTTTTTAGCATATTTGGGCACTTCTTGCAGAATGTCTACCAATGTAATATGGATTTGCACATGCTTTAAAATATCAAGAAACTTTCTATAAGCGACATTATCCTTCACTTTCTGCAATCTCTGAGGGAACGGAGGTGGTGTCCTCGCAACTAATGGTGGGGGTTTCTTAGCCACCGCCTCTTCAGCTGGCTTCTTTGACTCCTTTGATTTTTCTGATTATACTTCTATGGTGGCCGGTTTCTTATGAAAGGTCACTTGTTTTCTCTTTTTTCGACTGGACTTCTTCTAACTGTCTTCCATTCCTCAATGACACAACATTAATAGGTGCTTTAGGATTAGCCTCAGTGTCACTTATAAGGGCTCCAACTGGTCGAGTATTTTGGACACTAGCAAATTGCCCTATTTGTCGCTCTAAATTTCCCATCGCTGATGCTTAGGCCTACTGGTCAGCCATCAATTTCTTCATCATCTCCTCAAGGTTACTCGTCGGGTTTGAAGGTTGTTCAGCCTGAGGTGGTCTATATTGTTGTTGGGGCGCTTGTGGCCTGTACTGATTCTGGTTTTCACTCCAAGAGAAGTTTCGGTGGTTCCCCCAGTTAGGATTGTAAGTGTTCCCATACTAGTTTTTCTGCCTTTATTTGCATTACCATAAAACAAACAGACTCTGGATTAACTGGGCATAAGTCGCTCGTGTGACCCTCTCCACATACTTCACAAAATCTTTGAACCTGTTGCACTGACTGAGCTTGTTGCTTGTTAATAACCAAGGTCATCTGATTGATTGGTTTGGCCAATGTGGCATTCTGTGTTGATAATGCAGACACCCCATATAACTCGAGAACCCATTGTGTCTACCCATATCTCCTTGCCAATCAGGATTGCTTTTGGAGAATTTGTTCAATAATGCATATATCTCATTGAAGCTTTTCTCCAACACTTGACCTCCCGCCGCAGCATCTACCACAATCTTTGTCTGAGGATGTAGCCTTTCTATGAAAGTGTGAACTAACACTTCATTTGTATTATTGTGATGAGGATAGTCTCTGAGTAGCCTTTTGAAGCTTTCCCAAGCTGAGTATAAAGACTCCCCCGATTTATGTTTGAAAGCGACTATCTCACTTCGAATCTTTGCAGTTTTGCATGAAGGAAAGAATCTTGCCAAAAATTTCCTCGCGAGATCATTTCGTGATGTAATAGAATTAGCTAATTTTGCCTTCAACCATCGCTTTGCTTTGACCAACAGAGAGAACTGGAACAGTGTGAGCCTCACATAATTTGGAGTGACTCCGTTAATAATATAAGTATCACTAATCTCCAAGAAGTTCAGAATGTGCTGTTATGGATCCTCGTGTGGAAGACCTATAAACTGTCCATTGGCATGTAGTAGCTAGATCATGCTATGTTTCAGCTCAAAGTGCCCAGTGATTCTGGGCTTCACAATGATGGAGGTGACATTAGCAATGCTGGGCATCGCCACCTCCTGAACCGTCATATGCCGCTCCTCTGCCATGTCCATAGAAAATTGAACAAGTGCCTGAAGATTATTTGTGTCCCTTGCTTCTCTCAACCTTCTGTGAAATATTTTCTCAGGTTCGGGGCAAAAGCCTTGAAGTCTATCCTGACTTCTAACCATTCGCATTCAATCAAGGTTACTGAGAGCAGAGCAACAATTAAGTAACGTTAGACTTGATGAAATAACTAATTAAAGCAAAAACTAGAAAGTAGTCAATATTCAAGTCGCCAGCAACATCGCCAAAAACTTGTCACTCCCGAACGCACACGCAAGTATAAGTGATCGTACAAGTAATAAAATGGTAATTCGAGTGTCAAACCCATAAATACTTGTATTAACTACCCACTAAATTTACCAAGATTGTTATTCAGTCGAGTCACTCAGAGTTCAAAAGTGTGATTATACTAAACATTAATTCTAACTAGTAACTAAATATCAAGCAACAAAATGGTTGTTGTGTATTCAGTAGACACGAATATTCCAAGGTTGTAATCGATTCACCAATCCTATTGTGTTCTAGTTAACTCTCCCTTTCATACAATTCACTCATGGTTGCTAATTAATCGAACAATTGCTCTCGTAGCCTTCTCCCGAAGTACTACTCGCCTATTCAAAATAGAATAACGCCTATATTCCTATGGAATCAATCTATTAAAAATGCATTAAGATTACAATATTTAATTAAGCACGATGACTAGGTATATTTAACCACAATTCCCCCCCCCCCCCCCCCCCGGGTTAAGATCACGCTCTCTTCAGTTTTTCTCTAATCTGAATGTGGCTTTACCAAGCATAGCATAGATAGTAAATAACACCTAACCCTTGGCCATAAAATTAAGCAATTATTACAGAATTGAAAAAACAACTATATATTGGTGAACTGTAATTAAGGTTGAGTCAACTTTAAACAACAATATTCATGGCTAAATCAAAACCCCAGAACTATGGATTTTAGCCACTCATGATAATATCAAAACCAGCTCACAACTGTTGAATAATTGAAACTAGAAAGATGAAGAAAAAACTGAGAATCTTTGCTTCCGAGTGTTCCGTGTCTTGTTCTTGCCTTCAAGTAATATCCAACCCCCCCTCCCAAAAAAATAGGTTTAAAACCCATTTTATACATATTAGGGGTGTATAGGGTTGAAATCACCAAGTCCCAGCCGAATTAGGACAAAATCCGCCCTTTGGCGTCTCGCTTGGAGCCTGGCACCAACCTGGACAACAAACTTTTTGGTCTTCTGTCAATGGCATTTTGGTTGGTGCCTAGCGCCAACCTGGGACAGTGAAGTTTCTAGTCTTCTGTCAATGGCGTTTTGGTTGGTGCCTAGCGCTAATTATGGCTGTCCAACGGGACGGGCCGGCCCGACCCGGTCCCGTCCCGTCCCATCCCGTCCCAAGTTAAACGGGATGGGCCAATGTTAAACGGGACACGGGATGGGACGGGACGGCCGTTTCGTCCCGTTTGTCCTGCGCCCAACGGCCATAAACGGTCAAAACAGCCCCTATACCCCCCCCCCCCCAAACACCCCTACTCCCCCCCTCCCCCAAACTTTTAATATAACCCCTAGGTTTATTAAATTATATTTTGGCCCTATTTTCTACTATAAATACCCCCCATTCTTCTTTATTTTTTCCCACAAAAATCAATCTTCTCTCTCAAATCTCTTACATTCTAATATTCTATCTATATTATTCTCTCAATTTTGTTACTATCAAGTATCAACTATCAACTATCAAAAGATAACTTTCAAGTTTCAAGTATTTGGGCAAATTTTTGGATCAACTTTCAAGCTTCAAACTGATTCGTCAAGCATTTGGAGCAATATTTTGGGCAATTTCTTCAAGTTTCAATATTTAATCACGGTGCACTCGTTCCATCTCCTAATTTTAATATATAATTTTTGCGTATCATTTTAGTGCTTAATTTTTGTGTTTACTTTACGTGTTCTATTTTCGTATTTCATTTGTGTGTTTAATTTTTGTGTTATCTTTTTAAATTTAATTTCGTATTTAAATTATGACACCTAAAAATGTATTTGGCATGTTTAAAAAAAGTAGTAAAAAAAGTAGTAAAGGTGAAAGTAGTAGTAATCCTAATCCTAGTCCTAATCCTAACCCTTCTCCTAGAATTAGAAAACATATAGATGAAATGACTCGTGTTGATGAAACTTCATTTTCCCAACCCCCGCATTTTATGATGTTATTGTCGGAGAACAACTTTACAAAGATAATTTGGCAATGATATATTTTTTGAGGACGAAGAAAATGAGGATGAACAAAATGACGAAGAAGAATTAGATGAAACACCCACTAGTCCCGCAACACAAGCTCCAACTCAGAGTCAATCTCAGTCTGGAGCTTTACCCCCTGTACCCCCTGTAAGGGGTAAGCCTAAGGTTGAACATCCCAAAGCATCACTTGTATGGAAATTTTTTAAACAGGATAAAGTCAATCATCCTGCTATATGTGAAAAATGTAAGCAACAATTTGCACACACAACAAATGGTGGGACGGGGGGGGGGGGGGGGTTTAACTAGACACTTAAGAAAGGATCACAAAGTATTATGGATACAAGCTAACATAGAAGCCGGAAAAATTATAGATCCTACCATCGGTACTGACACTCCTAGTGGACCTGCTTCTAATCAAATTCAACAACAACTTGACCCTGCTTCTGGTCATGTTTTACGCCCCTATAACAAAGATAGCGATCGTGAGAACTTAGCAAAAATGGTGGCTGTTTGTGGCTTACCTTTTACTTTTCCCTCTCACCCTGCTTTTGTGCATTATATACAAGAAACTTATAACCCTGCTTTTCAAGTTTTTCCTAAGACCACGGTTAGAAATGATGTTTTTAAATTTCAAACCGAATATCTTCAGTATATTCGTTGTGTATTTTTTCACTTAGATTGTAAAGTGTCTATCACATCTGATATAGGTCGTAGTCCTAATGGTTGTGATTATTTAACTGTTACATGTCATTGGGTTGATCATCACTGGAACATGCAAAAACGTATTATTGGTTATAAATTTGTTGATTCAAAACACACTGGAGCATATATTGCAACTACTGTTCTACAAATACTTGATTTTTATGGACTCATTTGATAAAGTTTTTAACTCTCACCTTAGATAATGCTTCTGCTAACACAACCGCAGCAAATAGCTTAAAAATTAGACTTTGTCCAATTTAATCCTACAAGTTTTTTCATGTTAGATGTGCATGCCATATTTTTAACTTGGTTGTAAAAGATGGTCTTAATTTATTTTCTGATGCTTGTAGTAAAATACAACATGCTTGTGGCTATATTTTTCGTGCTCATAAACAAAGTAGAATTCGTGAATTTGCTCGGCAATGTGCTAGTGCTAACCTTCCATTTAGAAAAGTTCCAAAAGATATTTGTACTAGGTGAAATTCTACTTATGAAATGCTTAAAGTTGCTTATGATTATCGGGTGCCTATCCAAAAGGTATTTAACATGCATAATGGTATTCCTGCTGATCAAATTGTTGATTCTGATTGGGATGAGATCAAAGAGCTTACTAAATTTTTAGAAAAATTTTATTATGCTACAAAATAATTTTCTGGTATATATTATCCTACTGTTACACAAATATTATGGTATATTTGTGAAATTTCTGTTGTATTTGGTAAGTATAAAACAAATCCAACTTATGCACCGGCCATTAATGAAATGATTTTAAAATTTAAAAAGTATTTTTTCCCTTCTTCCGAAGTTTATTTAATTTCTACTTTACTTAACCCATCTTTAAAACTAAAAGGTGCAAAGGGACTTGTTCGTAAAATTTATGAGAATTTAGAAATTCTAGAAAATGAACAACCATCTCTCGAAGACTGCCAAGCTAGCATATATTCTTATATTAGATCAATGTTTGATAAATATAAA